TGCTCATTTCTGAAATAAGGACATCTTGGCAAAGATCATGACATGTTGTGTGATCGTACACAACATGATCATCAAGGATGAGAGAATATGCCAAGCCCCGTCGATTATGAAAATATTGAGGCCTTGTAGGTACACAAACTACTTTCAAACATTTCTTCAGCCGTACCGAAAGATTGAAAACCGGGCCTCCTATGATCAGCAGAAGGAGGATCTCATTGAGTACCATCGACAACTAGCTGAGAGATAGTGTTTTTTAATTCCTAGAAGATTTATTTGTTTTTACTTGATTTTTTTCATTTGATTATTTGTTGTATTGAGGTTATTTGTTCATTTGCATTATTTATATACGTATTAATGGTTTCTAATAATATGTGTTGAATTGTGAATTGTTTGATCTAAATTGGAGGAGCCGAGTATATAGATGAAAAAAAAATGTGAATGGTGCATTATGGCAACTCTGTGTTTGTGCACAGCCTCTGCAGCTTCCAGAAAAACTATGGAGCGAGCTCCATATGTGCCGTGGAGGTTGTGAATATGCTAGAATTGCTCTTAGGAAGAAAGTAGAGTAATGCAAGGAACTTGACTGAAATTTTTCTTAGTTGTAGATGCAAGTACGTGGTAGTTTCTAGTATACATAAAAATGTGTTGTGCCTAGTTCTATGTGCCGCCTAAACCAAAAGGCAGGCCCCGGGTTCGAGGGTTCCAGGTATGAGGGCTCTCGCGACGCTCGCCGGCCAGTGACCGTGTGGCCGCCGCCGACCGGATCTCGCTGCTCCGGCCTCCTCCGCCTCCGTCGGGCCTTGATCCAGAATCAGCGAGATCTTCTCCCTCACCTGCCCTCCTTCAACCCTGCAGTCAGCAGCCTCCGCCATTGGGTCGTGTGGCGATGTGAGCATGAGCTCTTTGTCGACGTCCCGGCCTTCTCCGGCGGCGGAGTCCCCGGCCTCCACCTCCGTCTCGCCGCCCAATGCTCCCGGAGACGTCCACTGGCCGCTGATGTCTCAGCTCGTCATCCCCGCTTGTGAGGGCTCCGTTCTGGATCTCGAGATGCAGCTGCCTCCTCCACCGCACGCCTTCGAGGTCACTTTGGCCCCTCCGGAGCTCCTGCTGGATGGGTCACTGTAGCCTGCGCCAAGCCCCTGCTCGGTTGTCACGACCGTTGCGGTTGGGGAGGAGCCATCTCTCCCTTCGGGGCTTGCTCCGGCGCGGCCAAGCTCCCGGAGCTCCAACGAGGTGCTCGCCCCCGATGCCGTTTTGCGGGCCCCGCAGCCGCCGCTGGCCGTGTCGTGGGCTTCCTCGCCGACGACACCTGCAGCATTGAAGGTGACGGCGAGCTCGCCCCACTGACGCCATTGGCTGCCAGGTGCTTCAGCGGGGTGAGCCATCCGGCTGCTGCTGCTGTTGTCGCTGCTGCTCCTGAGGCGTCTTCAGAGCAGGGATGGGTGAAGGTTGGTGGCCAGTGTCGTCCGGCGCCGCCGGCCTCGGTTATGGCTCCCCGGCCTATCCCTGCTTGGCTCCGAGTCGCTGCTGCAGATGCCTAGCCTCTGGGCACCGCGCGGCGGTCTACAGAGATCCCTTCTGATGCTGTCGTTGTTTGCAGAACGGTCATCGTGCTTGCGACTGCCACAACCCATGGCGTCCTCTCTGCTCGCTGGCATGTCTTAGCGCCCCGCCCGTCTCTCGCCTCGACACCCAGCATCGTCAACCTCCTGCTCCAAGAGAGGGCCGAATGAAATCCACGCTTCCTTCCATTGCGATTCGTCGTGGATCTTGGGCGTCTGTGGTTTCTGCTTCCGCTAGCCCGACATCCCCATCCAATGTGGTGCTTCAGACCGCTCTGGTTGACCAGACTGAGTTGCTTCAAGGTTGGCAGGCACGAATTGAGAGCTTCCTAGAGCAAGCGGAGGTTGCTTTGAGCAGGCTCTCTCTTGTGCCGACTACATTGCTGGCCACGCAGACGCCACAACCTCTTGGTGTGGCTGTTGTTGACTCCACGGAGGACGGAGGGGCAGAGCCCTATGGTTGTTTCTCCCCCTCGTGTTCGGGAAAATTCATCGTCGATGTCTGCACCGTCAGTTGTGGTGCCTACCGTTGTGGGTGACTCCATTGCCGTGCTTGCAGCTCTGGTGTTGCGGCTCATGCCCGAGCTTCGAGATATATGTTCGAGCCCTGCTTCACCTCTGTCATTGAAGCGGTTGGAGGTGGACTCATTGGCGATTTTGTGTGAGGGACATGTTTCGCCTCTGTCATGTGAGCAACTGGAGGAGCCGAAGTCCATTGTGTCTATGGTTCCTGTGGTGGAGGATGTCATGTTGGGGGTTCCTCGGGTCGACGATGTCGATGTGGATGGTTTGTTGGTGCCTGCCCCCAGGAGCCCCTTGGTTGACGATGATTACATCAAGAAGTACAATGAATTCTATGACTTTCTTGACAAATGGGTGGCTGATCAATCTGGATCTGGCAACACAAATGGATGCCTCCTCAAGAAGAAACCCAATAGGGAGAAAGCAAAGAGAAACAAAAGCAAGAAGGGCGGCGTTATCTGGAAGGTGCCCGCGATTTCATGATAGAGAGTGCTTCGTTTTTATTGTCGTCGGTGTTCTTGTGTGAAGCTCCGTTGTGTTGTGCAAGTGTCGAAGGTTGCGGTTGTGGTGCACTGGGAGGGCCACATGTGCGGTCACGGTGTTTCTTGTTGTGTGAGTAGTACGCCTTTGGATTGTTTGTAACGGTTTTCGCCCGGTTTTCCGAAAATTAACTAGGCAATTCTCTTCTTCTTAATTAATCGATGAGGCAAATCTTTTACCTCCGTTTCGAAAAAAAATGTGTTGTGCGCCTTCGTGGTAGTAGTCCTGTAAGTGTCATTCCCGGGTCCTATAAATGAAGACATGCAATCTAGCTTAAAAAACCACTAGTAGCACTGCATGAGCAACATCTCTAGTGTGTGTGCACGTGAGTGTACAACTCTAGTGTTCGTCCGTCTTAATAGAAACTAGATCGGCAAGTGGCGCGAGGGTGCCGGTCCCAACGATATGGTCAAGTGTTGGAAGATCAAACGGCATGATGCATTACTTCGAGGCAAGTTCAACACATGTAACATGAGAACCAATTATTTCACTCTGTACCAGAAGAGTAACATCATTAAGTTCAACTGTTCAACACGGCCACGACCACCTCGACCCGCCGCTCACTCTTGTGTTGCAGCAGGGTGCTGCATCCAAGAAGGAGCATGCTACAGCGGCTCCTCTCGACACTCGGAAGGATGCATCTTACACACATCCCGGCGATGGAGTCTCACTTCTGCACGAGATCATGGTCCTTTGATGCGGCCTAGTGGGGAGGCAACGATAGCTCCGTCCGCCACTCTCCTCTCGAGGATGGCGAGAGGCAAAGCTCGATGGGGAATGTAGTGGCAGCGACGAGCTCAGCGACGAAAGAGGAACTGAGAGGAGGGGCGGAAGCACGGTGATGGTTGCACGATGGGGAGTGGCGGCTAGGGTTTTTTCCAATCAGGGAAATGTGGACCAGGAAGAAGAGAAGAAGACGACCTCCTCACCCCTATCCGTCTTGCAGCCATCTACACGACGCCACTTAGCACCCAACACACGAAATCACAACTCTATGGGCTTTGAGAATTACCCGCGGTGGCTTCCTTGTTTGACACTATTTCAATCTACAATGCTCAACTTTGATCCTACGACCGAGGTCATCCAGGAGGCAGATCCGATGGTCGAGAACTCATAAAAAAACACCCGACGGCCAGGAATTTCTAAAGTCCGAGGAGCCAAGGATTCTCCCATGAGTCTTGTGTGCGGCTTGCCACACCCCACCTGTGTCATCAATATCCAACCTACTAAGATATGGTTTATATTCCGAAGGTTTAGAAAAAACTAAAAAG